ATCCCACCGTAAGGAGGCACCGAGCCCCTAGGGCCAATCGAACGGCCCTGGCACCCGCTAGAGAAGCCTTCTGGTACTTTTTTGGAGCGCGTCTCTGAACCACTAGCCGACCCCTATCGAATGGGGCATGGGCCTCCACTCAGACTTACCCGATAAAAGCTCACCAGAAATGTCACCGCTCGCACCCACCAAGGGTAGCCTGGCATGTTTCACCCCTCCTTCCGAGTGAAAAGGAAGCACGAGGGTCATACAAAAAGCCAGGGGAACTCCTGATCGCCCTCTCGCTACGTGCGGAGGCTCGGGGGCTCTTCCTGTAAACCTTGACGAGACCCAGCGGCCTAGGCTCGCACGCGAAGGGCTCGGCAAACAACCCCTCCTTCCGAGCGAAAGGGATGCGCGAGGGTCGTACAAAAAGCTAGGGGAACTCCTGATTGCCCTCTCGCTACGTGCGAAGGCTCGGGGGCTCTTCCTGCAAACCTTGCCTAGAAGTACACCCCGAGGATCGGAAAAACACGACGAAAAAGGGCACCGAGCCCGCTACGGTCCAGAGGTTCGAAGGCTAGACCATTTATGGTCTCGATACCGCTTCTCGGGACTTATGCAGTCAGGACAACTATGGGCGAGCCCAGACATGGCCGAGGCCTGTGCAAGCGATTGCTTGGGATGCCCTAAGTCGTGTCCGAGACCAGCAGGAGTTCTCTAAAGGGGATCCCACCGTAGGGAGGCACCGAGCCCCTAGGGCCAATCAAACGGTCCTGGCACCCACTAGAGAAGCCTTCTGGTACTTTTTTGGAGCGCGTCTCTGGACCACTAGCCGACCCCTATTGAATGGGGCATGGGCCTCCACTCGGACTTACCCGATAAAAGCTCACCGGAAATGTCATCGCTCGCACCCACCGAGGGTAGCTGGCATGTTCCACCCTCCTTCCGAGCGAAAAAAAGGAAGCACGAGGGTCGTATAAAAAGCCAAGGAACTCCCCGATTGCCCTCTCGCTCTGCTGGAGGCTCGGGGCTCTTCTCGCAACCTTGACGAGACCCAGCTGCCTAGGCTCGCACGCCAAGGGCTCTGCAAACAACCCCTCCTTCTCCGAGCGAAAAGGAAGCGCGAGGGTCATACAAAAAGTCGGGAACTCCTGATCGCCTCTCGCTCCGCGCGGAGGCTCGGGGGCTCTTCCTGTAGCCTTGACGCACGCAAGGGCTCGGCAGGCTCGGGTGCTCCTCCTGCACCCAAACAAGCGACCCGAGCTCGCTCTCATGGGTCAAGCAAATGCGATAGAGCACCTTACTCAAACAAAGAAAAAGCCCCTAAAGGAGTAAACTCACTCCTCTAGGGCCTCGGGGGCTACACCCGGCGGGTGCGCTCACGCGCACCCACCGGAATCACGAGTATAAAGCAAACCCAACAAAAGCCACTGAGAAACAAAAGTCTTGAAAAAACCTCGGGGAGAGTATCCCACACTCCCGCCCGAGGCTTGGGGGCTACTATCGGATACCAGAAAATGGGGTACCCCAAGCAAAGATCGAAGAACTGCTTAGACCCTAAAAACAGAACCAACGGAATGAACAAACGAGGTCTCGACTGAAATCTCCGATTCGCCCGAGACCCTGTCGCCGAGCCCTAGCGGAAGCAATTGATTCTCTGACTCGCCCGAGACCACCTCGCCGAGGCCCCCTCGTCGAGACCCCCTCGTCCGGGGCCTCGGAAGAAGCGTCGATTCTCCGATTCGCGTGAGGCCGGCTCGGCACCAGCCCCGTGGCCGCCTCTTCAACCAAACTGCTCTGACCAAACGTCGCATCCAAGCACCCAACCACTCCGACAGATGCACGATGGCATAGTACGGCGAAGTGACCGGCTACACGGTCGGTCGCGTCAACCCCCGCCATCCGAGAGGCGGCATAGCAGCAGGGTTACCGACCACGTGGCCGCTGACTCGCACCAAGGACATCATAACGGGGAGTCGAACGGGTTCCTCAGAGCCTTGGAATCAGCGGACCGACCACCCGTCTTAGCCCGAGCCCCGGCGACAGGCCTCCGGATTCATCGATCTTACTACCTCGCCGTCCGCCTCGCGCCCGAGACCCCCTGGAAGGGCCTTGGACGAATCGGCCATATTCCGCCGCGCCCGAGGCCGGGCTCGTTCCACAACCTCGTCGCCTCCGCCTCAAAAGTCTCTCTGGCAGGCTGTCACATCCGATTAATGCGCTCGGCCGCACCCACTACGTTAGCCATGATCGGCGAGACGCCGCAATGTGAAGCGACGGACAACGGTCGATCACCTTTTTACCATCCCTACTAACAACACAGTATCAGATCCCGAGGCGATCGCTCTCGCACTATTCCGCCTAATGGTGCCGAGACCCGACCGCACTGGTCACTTCAGTGAGGCCTAAGACGGCAGCAGCTAAGACGACGACCATTTAAGGCCGCCGAGCCTCGCAATCCACCAAAGTCAATAAATAAATGCGCAAAGATGTTACTTGCAAATGAAGACCATACCGATTGACATCTACGGAACTCCCACGACAACGCCATGCTGCTCTAGGAGTAAATACGTCATCGAATAGTCCTTGCTCCGTGTGTAGCTCTCTTATGTACTCCTGGTTTCCTCCCTGCGGCTATAAAAGGAGGCAGCCAGGACCGTTTCTAGGACGACGGATAGAATCACAGATACTCGCACGAACAACACGCCTTGTTCTGTAATTTGATATCACCTCCCCTCACAGAGACCTGGGACGAACTCCCTCTCTCGCCTAGCTTGTAACCCCCTACTACGAGCACCCCGGTGCAAGGAATACAAGAACACCTTCTCAGACTGGACGTAGGGCATCCATTGCTCGAACCAGTATAAACCTTGTGTCTCTTTGCATCTCCATCCGGAATTGGGGGCACGCAGCACAAATTCACTAGTCGGTTAAGGACCCCCGGTTCCGAAACACCGACAAAGAGAAACAAACAATTCAATGATTTAAATTATATTGTAAGACTAGTTTGTTATGGTTAGAGTGGAGGTAACAGGATCCACCCAAATAAGAAAGAGTGGGAGTGTATTGAATCAAGAGTATGTAGTGATAAGCGTCTTATTTATTACCAAAAGGCTCCCTTTAGGATGCCCGGCCGTCCGGACGATGGCTTCCTAGGTCTATGCAACGGACCGGCTCAACAGGCCCGCGCTTCTCTATTAAAAAATAGCTACTGGAGGCCGATTCCCCAATCCTCGTCGCTCGCCCGTCGAGGCATTCTTCACTGCCGCACTACGCCATCGACCGCCATGATAGATTCCACTGCGTCGCCCGCCGCTAGCCTTCTCCAGCGCGGGGCCGCTCACCGCGACGTTCTCCAGTGCAGGGGCGCCTCACCGTGGGCACGGCACCAGCCTATCACGACCTTCTCCAGCTACGGTAGGTGCCTCGTCGCGGGAGGCCGCACCCACCTGACCACGACCACTGCCTCCACCGCGGGGCCTCTCGCCAAAGGCGCCACCACTCGCCGTCGAGCCTGCACCACCGAGGATTCCGGCATGGTCCGCGATGACCGTTGCGACGAGCCCCGGCGCCATCCTTCCTCTCTCCACCACGGTGAGCCGCCCGCTTGCCGCCATCCTCGCTCTCCACTGCACTCGAGCGTCGCTTGCTTGCTACAGTAGTTCCCCACACGGTACGCCATGGTCGTCGGCGATGCCGCGTTTCAGGTGTTTCAGGTGTTTCAGATGTATGTGTTCAAGTGTTTCATCTGGATGTTGCGTATGTTGCAATGGCTATATACACATGTTGCAAGCATGTGTTTCAGGTGTTTCAAATGTATGTTTAAAGTGTTTCATCTGGATGTTGCATAACATGCAAGTTATAAGCGTATGTTTCAAGTGTTTTATGTGTTTCATACGTTTGTTGCAAGTGTTTCATCTGGATGTTGCAAAAGTAGATCTAGATATTACATATATTTTTGCAATGGCTTTAAGTGTTTTCAGGTGTTTCAAACGTATTTAGCAAGTGTTTTAGCTGTTTCAGACGTATGTTGCAAGTGTTTTCATCTGGATGTTGCAAAAGTAAATTGGGATGTTGCACATGTTGCAATGGGACCCACCTTCTGCAGATGCCTGCAGCTTCTACTGGGGCGCAGCCGTGGCTCACTGTGCGGGGCCCGAGGCCAGTAGACGCCTCCGCAGCGCGCATCCGCGGGCTGGGCAGGTAAATGGGACCCACATGGGTTCCCCGTGTGTGGGCGCGACAGTCATCGAGTGAAATAGAGCGAGCGTGATGGTAGGGGCGGGAAGCAGCATGGGGTCCACGTCGTGGGGCGCGCGAAAACAAGCGAGCGCAGTTACGTGCGCGGCAGCGTCCGGACGCTAGCGCCCTAGATGGACATCCGGGCGCTAGAAAGTCTTTATTTATTATGGTCATTCTGTTCTATCTCTGCTTAGGAAAGGTTAAAGCAGATACAATTGATATTGTCTTGCTACTGTTATGGGTTGTGGGTGCTGAAGCGTCCACATAAAAAAAGGAAACACAATACGAAAATAAAAAATTTTACCATGTTTTCAATACAAATTCAAGTACCTACATAGCAAGCGCACCCCCTTAGATTTGCTCTATTAGCCTCACCACTGCGAAGAAGTATACTCGTGCTACACTAATATTCTACAATAGTAGATAGGTGCTGAAGAATCTATTATACTAGAACTTTTATACTAAATCTAAAAGAGGACCTTCATTCTTTGCATCTATTATACTAGAACTTTTATACTAAATGTAAATGAGAACCTTCATTCTTTGCAGTCATTTTATAAATACAAAATATATCCATGTGGCCTTTGTCCATAGTAATCATGGGCATATTTTACAGTAAATTTGTAAAACCGAAAACACATGTTGCTGAGGAAGAGAAACATATTATCATCTCATCGGCAAACACTAAGAACAAACTAAAATACCACTAGCTACACTAAATACTGTATATATTTAATCTAATAATCTAATCTAAGAGGGGACTACTAGCTAGCTAGCTAGGGAACAAACCAGCTAGGCTTAGTTGAGCGCTGATGAATATCCTCCGGTGGCATGTAGACGCACTCCAATTTGTTATCCTGCATGCTGTAGCAGTAGGCCACAGGAAGAAGCCAGCGCTCCTCGTTAACATAGCCTGCTGTAGCAACGTCATGAACATAGTAGATCCGAGTACCGCCGCCGTTGACGCCATTATTTTCCCTAAAGGTGGTGTGATATCCATCCAGGAACAGTTCGTAGTCGCCAGCGTCTCTCACCTTGAGCCAAGCGAGCCCGTCAGGCGTCGAGCCTAACTCGAAGACGTCGAAGGCCACCGGCCGTGAAGACTTGACGCTAGTCCTGACCAAAACCAGCTTGCTCGGCAACGCAACGAGGTGGACGAAATTGAACTCTTCCTTCTGGGTACAGATGCCGTACATCTTGTTGGCAAGGTTGGGCGTCGCTGGTGGAGGCTGCACGATGCAGAGGGCGTGGAGCGTCGTGGCGTCGAACACCGTCATCTGGCCGTCGAAGCCGAACATCTTGCCGTCGTGGTAGGCTAAGTCGAAGTAGCCGAGGTTTACTGGGACGGGCGTGTTCACCAAGGTCCAAGCCGCGTCTCCGGGGGCGGCAGCATAACATACCCGCTCCCGGTGGCACCAGCATCATGTGGGACATCATGATCGTCATGCTCGCCGCAGCCGCCGCTGTCGTCGGAGGAGCGCCGGGCGGGACATGGACGGCGAAGCGGAAGAAATCCGTGAATTGAGGTAGTTTCTGCACAACATCCAGGTGCGTACCGCCGTGTGGAAGTCGGGGCGGTGCAGGTATGTCAGGTGCGTGACAACGTCGCTGCCGGCGTGGCGGACGGCGTTGAGCCTGGGCAGGGCAGCCGTCGCGCCCGTGGCCAGGTGTGAGAGGCGGCAGGACGCGTCGCGGGCGTCGACGACTATGGACCAGCCGCGCGACAAGGGGAAGACGAGCGCGTCCTCTGACGGCCCCGCACGGGGAAGCAGCAGGCGCGGCGCTGGCCCTACCGCAGCGCGCCATGCCCGGCAGACGGAGCGGAACGCGGCCAGGCCGGTGACGGCGTCGCGGGTCCTCCTCCCGATGTTCTCCAGGAGATCGGTGGGGAGGTCGGACCAGTCGGGTCGTTTTTCCTCGTCAGCCATTGTAGATCGATCGTGTTGTAGATGGATATATGATGGAGGTCAAGCACATGCGGCTTCGGGTCCTGGATCCCTTCTTTTATATACTCCCTCCGCCCGTTTTGCTTCGGGTCCTGGATCCCTTCTTTTGATCTACGCCGCTCTGTTTTCTCTGGTGCCGTTTCGTACCAGGCCCGGATTAGTTTCCCAAGCAATCCTACAACTAGAATAGTTGCGAGTCTGCTACGGATAAGCATTTTAACCACCTACTATACCTGAAACTGTAACTCTTATCTGCACTCACGAAGCATAGGAAATGGTTACAACAATCAGTGTTGAACGAAATACAACAAGTACTACTGGCGAATTTAAGAACGGAAACCACCTGGTATCCCATCACCCATCTCCAGGGAGTGATGCCAGTGTTAGTCTGATGGTCTGGCCTTTGTTGAATACTTGAATGAAACGAAGTTCCTGATGTTTCTGGGGCAGAAATATTCTGCAAAAGAGAGGAACGCGAGGACATCTGGCACTACCTTGCTCCAGGGACCTCCATTGGATCAGTTCTTCCCAGAAAGCCCTGCAGAAAGGGTGCACATGGTAAGTTATGCGATTGATTAAGAAGATCTAACAAGCATAAAATGTTTCCTAGTCAGAGAAAAACAACAGACCTGGCATTTATGAAGTCTACTTTGCCAGGCACAGGCAGATTCCTAATCTCTCATCAGAAGGTTTTGATTCTCGTTTAGCAGCCTCAGAAGTAGAGATGCAATCATCAGCATCACCACACTTATCCAATGTTGCCACGCACGACAATACTCGAACACTGTTGAAGTGCAAGATGCATGGATAAGCATATCCATGAGAAAGAAATGCCATACTTCAAAATAACATTGCAGTTCTCCACAAACACTGTTGCTTATCGGTGATTTTCACCAAATGCTTCCCCTGGCAGGCTCTTCATATTCAATTGCCCATTTTGTATGTAACGCTCCTACAGAATTCAGAATTGTATGATCAGAAAGTAAACAACTGTAGCAATCAAGGTGCTCCCATCAACCCATCTAAAATCTGCATGACTACATACCAGCTAGCTGCAATCTTTTAGATAAACCACCATAGCCAGCAAAAATATCAAGGGTTGCAAGAGGGTTGTCTGATGGTATATCCTTCTTTTTTATCTGAAGCAGCTAGCTCATCATCACAAATTTGCTTTCCTTTTATTCTTCTTGGAAGCAAAAGTTACCTTCCTTATCAGTGACATGGGTTTAGCACTGGATGGAAGCTGGCTCAAGATCATTCAGAGATAAGATCAGTTAATCATCTAAAGAAATGAAAGCTGACGCGGCCCAACAAGACAAACTATGCTGCACCATTGACAGAAGCCAAACCTAGACTTAAGCCACTGAATTCTTCTTCCCTGTTCTTCTCTTCAGTAACTTCTTCACTGCTCTCTTGCTCATGACAAAGATTTATCCTCAGCTCAGGCTAACCTCTGATATTTGACGTATAGGTTTTAGTTGATGGCATGTAATCAGGCCTGTAAACCCCTCTTACACTGACTTTTGTCAATTCTGGATGCGCTTTGTTAGATCCATCAGGAGCTCGGATACTCGATACATGGCATACAGCATAAGGCTTTAGGCCCACGTTTCTACCAAACCATGTAGATGAGTACATCCCATGGCCCCCCTTTTGGGAGAAAAAATTTCGGCCTAATATATACAGAAAGTCATGAACATTGTATCTGATATTCTTTAAGACAAAATTGGTCCCTGAATTCATCACCAGGTGGCATAAACTAGAGAACTGGACACTGACGGTGACGAATTCTTTGATGTCACCTATAATCGAATTCTAGACGTCGTTAGTCAAGAAAACCTCAGTTTTCATTAGCAGCACTGCCGAGAACAATCTGAAAAAACTTTTTTGCAGAATTCTTCCATGAAATTTTCTGTACATGTTTCTGAACAAAACACATTATGGCTTCTCCTTGAACCATCTTCCAATGTGCCTAATTGATCAACGCCAATACTACTAGACCGCGCTGATGGTCAGGTCCTCGCAGCATGTTCTTCATCTTGCTCTTCATCAATTTCCTTTTGCACATCGGACAGGAGCAGCATCCAGCAGGCAGGCTAAGGCTACTATATAAACAGCCAGCAGACAGGCTAAGGCGTCACCCGACATCACGCTGGTGCCCAACGCGTCAGGCTCCGCTCCCGCCGTGGCGACGAGCGCCGACACCGCGCCGGAGCCGAACGCGTCCACCTCTTCCGCGCCCGACGTGACGAAGATCGCCGACCTCGCGCCGGAGCCGGACGCGTTCACCTCCACCATCACTTCTGCGCCCGGCATGGAAACGATCGTCGACGCCGCGGACGCCGCGCCGGAGCCGGACGCGTCCGCCTCCACCCTCTCTTCCGCGCACGGCGTGAAGATGATCGCGGACCCCGCCTCCACCCCCTCTTCCGCGCCCTGCGTGACTGCGATCGTCGACCCTTCCGCCACGATTTCTGCACCCGGCGCAGCACCGACTATCCCCGGCCTTCGAGACAACCGGGTTGCTGAACATTGGGGCGTACCGCCACGGTCCGTGGAGCGTTGTCCCGGGCAGCAAGCGTTCGGCGGCAACGGCATGTCTGCCGTCGAAGCCCTCTATCCGGACCCGTTGTGGGCGTAGCGAGAGGAGGTCCCGCCGCGATCGTTCGGCGTCCCGCTGTGTTGGGAGTGCCGCCTCCGACCCGCACGGGTCGAGGCTAGACCTTGCGGCCATTTGGCCATCTGCGTCCGGTGCTACTGCTACGCCAACAGCAACAGGTTCGTCTGCCCCTTCTGTGGCTTGCCTATTACCTGGCTACTGTAGCGTTCAGATACGGATCGATTCTTGCTGGTAGCATATTGCGAATTGCAAATGCTGTTGCTCTGTGAAACCTATCGATTAGTATAGTTCTAGTTCTGGGCAAAGTTCTTGGCAACATTTGGATAATCTTGGTTCAAAGTTCTTGGCAACATTTGGATAATCTTGGTTCAAAGTTCTTGGTAACATTTGGATAATCTTGGTTCAAAGCCACGTGGGCTGGGATGTTGATCTTTGAAACATCCATAGTAACATTTGGACAATCTTGGTTCAAAGCCACATTGGGTATAACATTTGGTTCAAAGCTTCTGGTTCAAAGCTTTTTCATAAATACTATCTCTTGTTCGAGCGCTGTGATGTGAGTATGTAACAGCTCAGCCTGTCAGCTTGTTTCACACTTCAGATCATCAGATGCCGTCCATATGCGTTTCACAATTCATATGCGGTCCATAAGCGAGCTTGTGCAGATTAGACTTGGCATTGACGGGTCATTTGAGCGAGCTTGTGCAGGGAATTTGACATTGGCAGCAAAAAAGAACTCGCGTTCCAGTAGCATGAACGTGGAACACGCGATGCAATTTCAAAAGAGAAGTGAAACTTAGCAACAGGCATTACATGCAATGAGGTATATGGCAATCAAATTGAACGTCAAAAACAACGTAACAGTTAATAATGGTTCACAGCCAGTACGCTCATTACATAGTAGTAGGTATACAGAGTTTTAACTTGGCAGCTCAGGCTACATGGAAACAAAAAATCCAACTGATAGAACAGAGGCCCATATTTGGCCCTCACTTTAGAGGAATGAACCGCGAAGAGTGGGTAGCACCGATACCGGGCCTACCGTGCTTGACTGGCTTGTACGAGATGGAGAACTCTGCGAGGTAGTGGCCAATCATCTCCGGCTTGATCTCAACCTGATTGAAGGTCTTGCCGTTGTAGACGCCGACGATGCTCCCAATCATCTCAGGCACAATGATCATGTTGCGGAGGTGGGTCTTCACAGGCTCAGGCTTCTCACCGGCGGGAGCATCCTTTTTCTGCAAGCATGAAAGTCAATGCATCAGTGTCACAGTAGAAACATTATAACAGTGAAAAGGATGACCACAAATACATCTTAAACGTCCACCCGGAAATTCTTCTTGGTACACCTGACAGAAGTGAAGACACAACTGACCATAATGCATATAATAAGAACACATTTCAATACCAAAATCCTTGTTTACACACCAACTTATTTCCCAGAGATTAACTGGACAGAAATGCTAACCTACAAACTGAATCAAGCACTCAAGCTACTACAAACCTTCTACAAAAATGTTTTAAACTAAAAACACAAGCAGCAATGATAACAATAGAAGGGTAGCAAACACACTACAAGCAAAGAAAGATGTGACATATAAAGAAGCAACTGGTAGAACAAATGTAGCTTGCGCACACCAAAATGGTTGCAATTATTCCAGCAAAGTAAGTTGTCTGAGAAGCCAAACTGGACTACCGAGTACATGTAGGACAACAAATTCTTAAGAATACCAAAAAAAGCAGCAATATCTTGCATACGACAACTCAATAGCTCAATACAAACTGGATTTGGTAACTGAGTTTCCACTAGCTTCAGACAGATGTAGCAAAAGAATAGATAATTTTCAAGCAAATGTTTATATACCTCAACTGCTCCAACAAAACTAAAAGTCAGGTCATCAACAGTTCTAAGTGATCAGCATCATAACAGAAGGGCAAATCAATTGTTCCAGTGACAATGCAAGATCATAGGGACAATGTAAGAGCAGAAATTTAACAGGCATGCTTCTGGACAATGGCCTGAATAGCCTTATTAAAAAATTGTGCATTTCCATAGGACACACAAATCAATCTTCTAGTAAGTAACAACTTTAGTGGATCAAAGGAGCACACTATTTATTCAGTTTGGTTGAGTATCACAAATCCCGAGAAAACTGAAACGGATAGACAGCAGGCAATAACAGAGTGAAATGCTAAAATGCATCATTCAATGGGAAATAAGCAACAAAAAATTAGAGAATTAATCATCCAATGCCTATCTATACAATTTAGCTATCCATCTAAAACATCAATCAGGCAGACAACTATGCTTCTACCTTACTTGAAGCACCAAAAAAAGGTGGATACATTAATATTTATATTA